CCTGGGGCTCTCTGGCTGGGTCCTGCCAGGCGCGGGCATGCTTGCGCTTGGCGCGCTGGCCCCCTGGTGCTCTCTGGTTGCACCGCGCTGGGTGCAACCACGAGTGCGCCGGGCGCGGAGATGTGCTTTCACTAAATGTTGTTAGAAGTTGTTTTATGTTGAGTTTAAGTTGAAGTTGATGATCATGAAGTGATGACTAGTAGATAATACTGTATGATGATGTTGAGTTGTATCAGATAAATATTGTTGTAAGATGTCTTGATGTGCTGTAAGATGATATGTTGTGCTGTAAAGTTGTGCTGTGTTGTACGATGATATGAGTTAATGGCTAAACAAACCGATGTAAAATGTGTCTTTTGTAGTAATGGATGATGGGTTGATGAGAACGAAGCTTAGCAATGGCTTAAAGGATGGACTTTGTTGGGACAAGATTTGAGCATTCTCTACTTCTTATATTTTCTACTTCTTGAAAAGTTTACCACATACTATTTTATTACTCTCATGATTCAAAGGTAACTTGTTTTATTATTATTATTATTATGATTATTATTATTATTATTATTATTATTATTATTATTTGTAATTCAATGTGTTGAGATTAAATAGTAATTATCTTTTGCATTCGCATTAATGTCCTAATGCTCCACCTTAGATTAATTTGACTCTGTCGAGAGATAAGTAAAGTCTGATTAAGAATTGTTTTTGTCAAATGAATTATGTGTTAATGCAAAATAGTTAATTTTGTAGAGAAAGAAGGAAGAAAATTTTGTTAATATTAAATATGACGTGGATATATTCCATTAAAAGTTGAACTTTTACAATAAGCATTAAAAAAGATGAATATCATTAATATAAAAATACTTTATTTGTTAATAGAAAAATTGTACATTATTAAAAAAAACTTGAGATATTTTCAATTGCATTTATTCTATTTTTTCTTAATTTTTCCTTCTATTTTCAATTTTTCTTCTCATAAAAGTCATATTCTTTGAATTTTTATGTTTTTAATTAATTACCTTTTTGACATAACTAAATAAATATTGAATTTTTAGTAAATAAAATTCAATCAATTTTTATAAAATTATTATTGCAATAAGTTATTTTTTATTATTAATAATTATGAAAATCATATAATATTATTAAAATTATTAGTATTGAATAACTGACAACTTAAAATTGTAATTAATTAGTAGTATTATATATTATTTGTTATATTAATCAAAAATCAAGAGATTTTGATTAAAAATTGTAAATACTGCATAATTACTATTAATTATTAAAAAAAATATTTTGAACATATATATAGTATATATAAAGGGAATAAGTTTTGTAATAATTATTTTTGTCACACTATACTAAGGTTGAATTGGGTAAGTTACGAGAGTCTTTAACTAGAGGTTCAATTGATCCTGAAAGAGAAAGGTATATAAGGTTTTTGTTGAAAACCAAGCCTCATAAATTCATTTCTCCAGATTCTAAAGAGAATTACTTTGATTCCTTAAAGCTTGAATCTAATTTAAAGTCGTGTAAAGTTATTTAGAGAACTCAACATTCCTTCTTCTCTTCCTCTCCCTCATTTCTTCATTTAGGTGGTTAGGAATTGAGATAAGGGAAGTTAGGATAAATTGGTTTGGTGATTTGATGAAATTTTTGTTGTTGTTGTTGTTATTTTTATCAAATGCATGTGAACATACATGTGGTTGAAATCGAATGGAATGGTGAGGGAGATGAGTTTTTGGTGTTTTCAATGATGGGGGTGATTTTGGTGAATGATACAAATTGAATTACATGTATTATTTGCTTGAAGATTTTGAGTCTTGTATGATGTGTGTGGATTGTTGGATGCATTGCATATGTAGCATAGCTATTTTTCAGGTGGATTAAAGAGATTTGTGAAGTCTATATTTGCATATTTTTTATGTCAAGTTGGGCACACCTTCATGACACTGGGCACAATTCTAACCATAGAAACTCATCTCGGGTTGAGATGACGTTGAGTGTAATTTGAATGAGGTTAGACATGAGAGCTTAGAAAAGTCTCCGACTTGGGGATGTCAGGTACCAATGAGGTGATGTCGAGTGTGAATTAGGTAAAGACTCTCTACCTGATAAGAGGTCAGGTGTGAGTTTTGTCATGTTAGGCATGAGGTCCTCGGGAATTTCAGATTACAGATTAATTAATTTTTCGATATAAAAATTAAAAAAATATAAAATATAGATAAGAAATAGATTAGTGATAATCGATTTCTCAAAGTGAATAATCAAAGTAGCATATTGGTAAAATATATTTCTAACTTACAATTACCAAAATGTTGTCTTAACGTTGAAAAATCAATTCCTCATACTAACTTGTTTCTTATTTATGTTTTGCATTTTTTTAATTTTTATGTTGAAAAATCAGCTAATCTGTAATTAATTTTTTAACTGCAATAATATATATATATATATATATATATATATATTTTAATTTTAATATTTTTTTCATTTGCCTACTAAACCTACATTTTGTTATAAAAGCAACGTAATAACATAAAAGACAATATGAAAAAAGAAAAGAATCTAACAAATATATTATTCCTAAAAAAGAATTATAAATTATTTATATATAATTTAATAATTAAAAAAAATAATACATAACAAAAATATAAATGATAATAATATGTGAATATTAATTAAGCTATCAATTATATAACATATTTTCGTTTTTTTAACCGGTAACCAATTTTTCGAATTATTTTTTTAAGTATTGAGGTTGATCATGTACTTAAGGATATAAACAAGTACAAGCCACGTGGCCTTGCCCACACCCTATTAGAAATAAGTGTTATAGAAAATTTGACTATATATTATAAGCAATTATGGTGGTCAAGGTATCAAATTCCTTGTTCCGTTCATTTCATGTGTTCAAATATGTTTCATTTCTTATTAATGTGTTCTTAATATACTATACAGCTATTTTCTAAGGATACTTGGACTCGATTCAAAGACCTTTGATGTCAATTTAGAAAAAATAAAATAAAATAAAGTCTCATGTTAATCTTTTAAGATATGGTATCTTTGGTAAATATTTTATGATAAAAAAAATTAAAAATTGTCGTGTATAGAAACCATCTGTGGAATGAATCGTTGTTCCGATTGTCAAACCTCACAGTTAACTCCCACTCACACAATACACTCTCTTTCCTTTTGCTCCCTTCCAATCCAAGAACATTCATTTTCTGCTTCCTGCTGCAACTGCAACTCGTGTTCACAACAGTAAACGACGTCGCTTAGTGCCATTCATTACCACACCCTATCTCTCACACCCACATTCCCTTTCTTCCAAAGTTCGCGACTTTCGCACACCCTCATGGCCCCGAGCCCCGAAACCGAAACCGGGTCGGGTCCGAGGAAGCTGAACGGCGAGAGCATCTCCGAGTTGGTTTCCGAGTTGCGCGACTCGTTCCTGAGCAGCGAGTTCGACCGAGTCGAGGAGATTCTGGTGGCGCGGGAAGCGAGGCTGGAGGCGGAGCTGGCGGAGAAGAGGAGGGAAATCGGGTGCCTAAAGGAGAGAATCGCTTTTGAGAAGTTGGAGAGGATCAATGCTGAGTTGGAGCTGGAGAGGCTCAGGCAAGAGAGGTGTGATGAGAAGAAAAATGGTGGGTTTGGATTGGGTGGGGGTGTGAAGAGTAATGATGAAGTTGGAGGTGGAAAAGTTGGGGTTTTGGGGGAGAAGGAGAGAGGGGGTGGTGAGGAGGGGAAGAGAGTGGTTGGAATCGATGGCACTGTGTCTGTGAAGAGAGATGGGGATGGTCTAGTGGCTTCAGGTATGTGTGAAGATTCTTGGTGCTTTTTTTTTTTTTTTTTTTTTT